TAAGTGATCATTTGTATAACATGCTGTCTTTCTAGTCTCTTGCCTGGAGAGGATGAGAGTGAAGGACCAGAACTGGCAAGGCAAATGCCAACAAGAACCCCGAACTACAATATGCTCTTGCCCCCATCCAGCCCAGTACTGAAATACTTAAAGTTGAGACTACTTGTATGCTTAAGTCTTTGGACGAGAAACTTTGGACTTTGCCTTGTCAAGGCTTATGGCAGTAATGTTTTTTGGTTGTTTTTTTTTTTGGTCCTGAACATCTTAAAAAAGAAGACACGTACTGTTGCTAGCTCAATTTTACAGACTGAACTGCAGAATTCAGTCCTCCAATACACAAATGGGTTCCTGGACTGAGGAATGATAATTTCAGGTCTCACTGCAGTCAAATTCATGGCATGATCTTGTCCCAAACTGCAGTGTAATCTGCCTCTATCTTGGAGCTAGAGAAGTACTTTCTGCCTTAATTTCTTATGTGTCAGAAGTGCTGTGATTATAAAGAGACAGGGTTTGGAGAAAGAAGTAGTACATTTTTGTTGGACCAACTGATGTAGTTGGAAAAAACAGGCAAAATTTTGACCACCAATTCTTTCTTCAGGTTGGAATCAAAAGCAGCAAAACTTGTGCTGAGTACTGCTTGTGAATGGTTGTCCTATGTCAGTGATCCAAGCCATGCCTTTAAATAGCTATGTAAATTATTTATGAGGGCCTTGTTAGTAAAGAGTTTATGATAAAAAAAAGCAGTGGTCTAACAGCAATAAAGAAAGACAATTTAGCACCTGGGATACAGTGTCTGTTGGAGGGAAGGGTAGCAGGAATTACAATATCAGAAAAGTCTGATGTGCCATAAAACCAACTATCCTGAGTCCATGGCTTTTGGCATTTGATGGAGTTAGTTTTTAGTCTTACCTTTTGAAGGCATTTTGTATGTCTTGAATGTCTCTTGAACTATACACTAGAGGCGAAGTAATTGTTTAGGGAAAAGTGCTTACTAGCTGCAAGTATGCATTTTTCATCTTTTACTGATTATCAGTGTGAATTCTTGCTGATGCATAGTGTTTAAGCATTTCTGGAAAAAAACGGGTAATCTCTTCCAAAATATTGCTTCCCTAGGAGAGGAACAGGCACATTTTTTTTCAGGCACATTGTAAATTACCACCTCCTAGGAGAAAGTCTGAACTCCTTACAACCTCTAACTGAGCATCGTGAATATACAGGGCATTTTTCTAGACTCCAAATTACAAATTGTCATGCAAATGATCAAATTTCTTTTCTATTAGCAGTTTAGTGTGCTGGTATATTTAAAGATGATCATCCTGGTATAAACACTATTTTCTTACCATGTTTTTTTGTTTTATTAGTTAAAAAACAGATAGTATTTTGTAATTTGGTTGGATTTTTTTATGGTAGATCACCCATATAGTAGAAAGTGTACGACTAAGAGCTGTAGAAGAGGTTTTTTTCCAGACAGAAAAAAAGGGGAATAAAGCTGAATTTTGTTTTATTGAATACATTAAGTACTCCTGCAAAGCAACTACATTTTTGTTGCATGTAAGTATGATCAGAAATATCCAGCTTCCATTTGCCATGTTTGAAGGTGATCAACCACTTATGTCCTATAGAATTATCCTGAAGCTATTCCACGGGAGGCTGCTAGCTGTCACAGTCTTATCTACTGCTTATTTGAGCTAGGCTCTGTCTAAAAATGCGCTTCCAAGAACTTGTCATCTAGCAGTACTTATTTTTGACAATGCCTGGTTGATCTCATAAGCTTCATGTGGCTTGTGGGGACAAAGAGTTTAGACTAAAAGCCTCTGTAATTTAAGTTCTACTTTGTATCAGTGGGGATATCTGTTCTGTCAATGGTTGTTTCACAACTAGTTTGACAGTCTTCAGTAAGGTAATGGATTTTGCAGGGGGGGCACGGTTAGCAAATCATAGAATATGGCAGAAAGAGTGGAGGACAAGTAGCTGTCAGAAATCTCACAAAAGATAAAAAGAGATGGGGGTCAGGAATTATTCAACAAACTGTATCAATATTGTAAACTATTTTCCTGATATCAAGCTATGGCATTTGATTCACTTACTTTTGTAGTGTTTTGGATTACCTTTTCTGTCTGTGCGCAATTCTTTTATTCATTATGGAAAAAGAAAACTAATATATGTATATTTTGTGATCTGTTTACTTTTTCCTCAAGTGACTTTGCCTTCTCATTCTCTGGCACTTTTCATATGACACAGTATCCTAAAAAAGTTTTGGAAAATATTCATGGCTGAAATGTTTTGGGGTTTTTTTGTCTTAGTATCAACCGTGAATTAATGTTAGCAGCCCCAACAATTCCAACATGTTGAAAACTGGTGCGGGTATTAAATTACTCAATTTCTGCCTTATAACTTCAGTTTAAGCTTGATTTTCATTACCAGCTGAAAGTCTCCACTCAGAAAAACCTCAAAAGTTTTATGCATGTTATTGTAATTGCTATTCTCCCTTCAGAGTCCCAGCAGTGGAGCGGAGGTAGAAGGGTGTTTGGGAGTGTCTGTAGGGAAGAAGAGCAGACCTCTTATTTTTGCTGTACTTGACTTGAACCAGTGCTTTTAATTCCTCACCTGTGCAAGTATCAGATTTGCTTGCTGGCTTAGAAAGTTCCCTCTAGCAATGAATGATGCCAACATTTGATAAAAGGAGTGTCTACCTTGGAAAATATTTTTTAAACTCTGTTGAGTAAATTGATAAAGCAACGATGCTGGGTTAGTCAAAGCTTCCCAGCTGCCAAGCTTGCTCGTATAGGGGCAAACAGGAAGAGAGCAGAGTAGCAGGAGCACTGTCTGTGTGGAGGATGCAGAATGCTTCTCCTTCCCCCTCAGGCATAACTGGGAGTAGCAGCACACCAGGGCTCCAGAAGGCAATTTGTATGAAATGGGAATCTGGAGTCCAAATATTGCAGAGCATATTTTTCCCTCCTAGTAGAGTACAATTAGGAAGCTATGTTGCAATAACATTAATGGAAGGGTAGGGGTGTTTAAACCCTTGCTGTCTTAATGTTTGAATTGTACGTGGTATCTTTTGATTTTCTTTTAGATTGTTTCTAGTGCGTTTTGCAAAGTATGTGAACTACACGCAGACACCTTCAAATTCAAGGTTAGCCAAACGGCGTTAGACGTGCTGCTGAGTGGAGAGAGGTGACAGCTACGAGTACCAGAGAAAGCCCCGGTTCTTACTGACGTGCTGAGGGATGTTCACTGCCTGTGTGAAGCAGACAGATATCCTTGCTTAATTGCATCTCTGCTGAAGGGCTCTCACAAGATGTGTTATGCTCCATTTATCTCTTTCAGGAGTCAGCCCTGAAAAATAGAATTTATATTTCTGTAAGTTGACGTTTTGCATAACGCAGCAGGACGTGAGCGGATATGGCCTGGAATTTGAGTAGGCACTGCTGAGCATGACTCCAACAGAAAATGTACACCTTGTGGTACAAAAGCAAACAAAAAACCCCAGGATTTGCATTTTCAGGGTAACAGACTCTTAGCTGATGTGCAACAGCTACAGCTCCCAAATTGTGTGTTGAATGTGGGCCCTAGAACAGGCTGAGGCATGGTGCACTCGTCCTCCACAGCAGCCACTGGCCCTAGGCCAAATGTAACTCAGGTGTGGCTCACTCCTGCGCTCTCCAGCAGACATCCTTTTCATCCCACTGCCCCTCGTTGGAATGCAGCACGCTGCTCTTCTGGAAGAGAAACAAACAGGACATTTATTTGCCCAATATCACCCTCCTGCTATCTCTCATTGGGCAACGGGATATGGTGTCGTAGGCCCACACCAGCCCATCCATGCCGCAGGACACATTTGGGCCTGTAATGATAATAGCTCAAGCCTTCCTCTTACTTCTTTTGGGGTTTTTTTTTTCTTTCTTTCTTCCTTTACTTTTCTTTCTTTTCTGCCTCCTATGGAGCTTACCCAACAGGCATAGCTGAATGTGAATTTAGATGTAGACTGTGGGCAAGTGTGGGCCTTAATCCACACAAAAAAGGTACTAAAGAGGTAGGTGAGAAACACAAAGCTCCACTGTTGCAGGCTCTAAGGGGATAAAGAGATTGAGAAAATCCCCTGAGAAATTCAGTCAGGATCCCAAATGTCAGAAAGCAGGCAGTAGTACCTCTACATTGCACAGGAAATAAATCCTTTACCAGTTATCAGTACTTAAAAAACAAGTACAAGGGTAGTGCACTGCTAGGCTGAAAATACGCTAAGTTTTAATCCAAACACCAGTTCTCCCATTCCCAGATGATTATGGCCTTTCCATCTGAAGTGTATAGTAACTCCACAGTATAACTACACTGCTGCTGTTACAGCACCAGAGAAAATCACCTGCTGCATGATTTTGTTGTTGTTAGGAAAATTGTAGTCAAGTGTTGTAAAGTGTCTAGCCTAGCCTGTTGCTCTACATTAAACAGGACCAGTGGTAAAGGCAATCAGCTTCTCATTTTTCCCGAGTTTATTGTGCGCCATAGCTCCTTGCAGAAACTGCCAGGACTCTTGTCATCGTTACGTATTATGAAAAAGTCCTCTAGATTGCCTGCAATTAGCCATGTAAAATTGAGTTTATCATTCCACTGGGCGTTACGTGGTTACCCATAAACTTGCTCTCTGATACCAGAAGTAAATCTGAACCTAAGTAGAAACAATAAACAGATACGTTATATACAGACTCATTTAAATAACTGCATAAAATCTCATTGTGGATTGTATTTGTTTCTTGCACCTTGTATAATACTAGGAGAATTTTAATGGAACTTGACTGGAGCACATACTACCTTTGAAAAAACTTGTAATTTTTGTGAGAACCCACCCTCAAAAAAAACTAACATCTGGTTTGTGTCAGCAGCACATTTTAATTTTGTATATTCATTGTTACCAGTAAGGATAAAGAGGTATAATAAGCTTATGTGATGGAACGATTGTTATTTTTTATCTGAATAACTATATCTGTTTCTTTTCATAGAGAGAAATTCTAGAACAGCAACAGCAAGAGAGAGATGACATAAGTTTTCATAGTATGTGTATGTTCTGTGATCAAGAATTCACAGGAAACAGGTTTGTGTATTGACTTGTTTGCTTTTGGTTTATTTTTTCATATCTGCTCAGCATCTTTGTTTATGGTTTTAATGTCATTGAACCAGTTACTGCCTAATGGTAGGAATCAAAAGATAGAATTCATTTTAAGGTATAGTTTAAGTATTTCTTTCAATGCAGTGCCATTTTAAGTAGACCACCTCCTACTTCTCAATCCTTTAATTATTCCAGTAGAACTTTTTATACTACACAGTAAGCTGGAGTTGGGAACTGAACCACTTTAAAGAGAGACAGTTTTTCAGCAGTTGTTTTAGTGGCAAAGAGAGCTGTTTAAGCCAGTATGGCTGTTAAAAAATATTTCTATTCAGTTACACATTTTCCTGTTTAAACCTCACCAAAACAGCGTGAATTTGAAGATTGAATGAAAAAGAGGGGAGGAAAATTAAAGTTAGAAGGGAATGCTTTGCATCAGTCAAGTGTGAGCACGAGTTGCATTCAAGTGCTTGCTCCGATGAAAATTTGTTTTTACACAGTACATCTATGTCAGCTGGAGAAACTGAGTCTTATTCCTGAATGTCTGTTTGCATAGGTAGTTCTGGTACTCTGGAAAGGTAGAAGAACCTGGGGTCATGTCCCTGCAGGTCATCCCAATGTTGTGTGGGTGTTCTATTCTCTTTACTGCCTGGTGTAGTGAAGTTCACATCATTCAGCCCCCAAGAACTTCATTCTCTGCTTACCCTTGGGTCTCACAGAATACGTGATTTGAAAATCATGTCTGGACTGTGGTAAAAGCAAGGCTCAGCAGTGTTAACATTTGGACGTTTCTTTAATCCCCAAATGCAGAAGTTGAGGCACCTAAAGAATTAACTAGTAATAGAAAAATCACTTACTTGAACATTCATTATGTTTGTTCATGTGTATTTTTGAGTCCTGTTTGTGTTGCTAGTGCTGTGTGAAGCAATATTGTTGTAAAAGCATATCACACACAAGAATTTCTGCTTTGTTAACCAGCATAGAGAAAACTGACAAATAGCTTTTTAAGAATGTTTCTCAAGATGGTTGTTTGAAACATGTGATTTGTTTATTCAAGTTAATAAATGAACTTTGCTAACAGTGAGGGTCAAAATAAATATATTGTAATTTTCGTTTAAAGGATTATATTTCATGCATGCGGATTAAGCAGTTGAAATGTTACTGAATATTCAGCAGCGCTGAAATTGAAAACTTCCTATTTCAATAAAGTTGCATTCTTTTTTTTCTAGCAGAGGCAGCAACACTATTATTGTTTATATAATATTGGCTTTTATGCATTTTTAGAGCAATTGGTTTATTTCAAGTCACTAACTGAATAATTCTCATAGGTATTCAAAAATACGCAATGTTCTTTTTGAACGTCTTTTGTAGATCTGTCCTTCTCAATCATATGGCAAGAGAGCATGCTTTTAACATTGGGCTGCCAGATAACATTGTGAATTGCTATGAGTTTTTAGCTGTATTACAGGAGAAGCTCGACAAGTAAGTAGTTTTTTGTTTGGTTTTTTTAATGGACTTAGATCATATTTCTTCTAACCTTGGAAATAATTTGAGTTAAAATTAATTCAACATTCATGGTTAGTTAAGAAGAAACAAAGAGATAATGTAAGTTTATTGTGACTGCTCTTAGGCTTTTTGTTGACTTATTGAAAGCTAATTCATAACAATTCGTAGTGTGTGTTTGCTGGAAAAATGGAGTCACGCACAGTGCTTCAGTTGTTACGCATTGCACAGTTTCCATTGAAATCAAGAATAGCACGTCCCTTTTTCTCATAACTGTTAATGTTCTTCTTTCTCATCATAACAATCTTTTTGCTAAACATCTCTTTGATCACTGAATGCAGCATTCTTATGCCATTCTTCGTTTGCCTCTCTATATATTGATAACATGGGATGTTTGGTTTCTCCCTTCTCTACTGCTTAGAGAGTACATCCCAGGGCAGAAGGGGAAAGCCAATGTATATGCTGCCTCAGAAACATGTAAACCTGAGATGGCTGAAGAATTTAAAAAGGAAATTTGGGAGAAGAACTTGGATAGCAAAGAGCAAGAAACTATTCACTTTGAGTTTCCTTTGCAAGTATCTAAGTGCCCTTTATGGATTTCATAAATGGGACAATATGAAGTATGCCACAAATATAAATTGGGCTCTAGCAGAAAATGTACTTCCTTAAGAGTGAAACTGTAGCTTTAACAAGTTTATTAGATTTTAATACAATCTGTAATCAAAGACTATAGGAGAAATTTGCCTAAATCTTAGGCTTAGTTATGGAAAGCCACAGAAAACTGGGCTTTGTGAAAATTGGGATATGGAAATTAGATTAAATATCCTTCCAAGTAAATTTAGGATCCATTGGTTTGTACATCTGAAAAAAAAAAAAAAGAAAGAAAAAAAAAAGAGATTCAAAGGACGGGAAAGCCAACAGTATTCTCTAATTTAGTCTTTGGTCTGACAAAGAATGTGCAGTCACAATAGGTACAGGTTAACTTCTTCCAGAAATGAAGATGTATTAAGAATGCCTTTGATGTTATCATAAGTGTTGCCTAATGCACCGAGGTACCTTGCTCTCCGATAAATTGCAGCTTTACTGTTTATCAGTAGGACCTCAAGCTTTCGTTTAGGTGGGGTTTCTCAAATCCTCTCTGTAGTTAATACACATGCTGAAATTGCTTCCAAAGCAGTGAAAGGCCACTCCTCCTACTGCTAAGAGAAGACTTAATAGCTATGCTAGTAGAATAGTACCTGAAAATATTAAGAGGAGAAAAATCTTGCTTCAGGCAAATAGCATGACTACATTGTGTATACTGAGGAAAAGCATTATGTACTCTTTCTGGAAATGCCTTTCACAAGTAGACCAAACACATTGCTGTTAGCAGGTGGAACAAAGCAGATATTAAACTTCATAGATGTATTCTGCCATCGGACCTATGATTCACCAACAAGGCAATATTTAGATTTTGAGGCTGCAAGCACAAGGAGAACTCAAAACTTCCTTAACAGTAAGCCTAAATGTTACAGCAATTCTTGGAAGGCAGAAAGATACTGAGAATCCTGAATTGCTGTTCCACGCACGAGAGCTGAGGGGAATCTGTATGCACCTTTGCTGAAGGAGTATGAGGGTTTTCAGGATGTAGCTACAGAACCTTCTAGGCACAATATTAATGTTTTTTGTGGGGGCAAATAAAAAGAAAAAATACTTTTCTTCTTCAACATCTATATCTTAAGCCCTGGGGAAATCACAGAAAGGCCTGACCCAGACACTGTTAAAATTCCTTCTGACTGTACAATCAAGTATGCTTTCATCTGTGAGTAAAGAAAAAAAAAGTGATCATTTTAATTCAGAGCCACCGTATTTTTTTAGTATCTGTGGATTTTGTGTCTTAAAGTGCTGTTGTTTATCCCTCCCGTCAAATTTTTTTCCTGCTATCCAGCATCTCCAATACAAAGTTACAGTTACAAAGTTTTTATTTCATGAGAAATTATTTTCTAGGGGTTTTCCCTATCCCCCTGCAAAGATAATTTTTCAAACGGCCCAAGAAACTCTCCATCTTGGTAGGATATGTAAGCCATCACTTATAAGAAAAATGTTTTAGCACCTTGGCTAACTAGAGGCTCAAGACCTACATCCATTAAACAAGGATGTTCCTGTAAGCTCAGGGCTCTGCTACATCTCTGCCAGAAAAAAATGACCATCATCTATTTCAGGGAGAATCACCCATTTAGACTGAAATGCAGATTATTGTCCTCATAGTCCACTGTCTGAATCAAGAGACTTTGACTTAATGCTTTATAGGCTCAACTTTCAGGTGTCAGTTGATACTACAGTGGAGAGAACAATTACTTTGTAGTGCTCGTAATAGAGAATTTAAGACAGCGCATATACCTCTGTTTTGTTTGAATTGCTCTGGAAGACATACTGTGGTAAAATTCTCATTTTTTAATGGATGTTTTCACCTTCTCAAGTAATGTATGTGTATATATAATAATTCACATCTATATAAGTGTATATATGTATGTACAGTATGTATGTGTATACATATACATGAATTATTATATATAAGAGTGTGCGTGCATATGAATTTATTTACTAAATTTGATTTCTCAGGATTTCAGAACCCATTGATCACCCTGGCAAACTTTCATTTAGCCTCCCCGTTGAGTTAGAAGTATAAAACTTTCTGTTTAGCTAATTTAAGTTGTTTTTAAAGATATGTAGTACATTCAGAGTTCGGGTTTTTTCACTCTAAATTACAAAGAAACAGTTACTAATGGATTGGATGCCAGTATAAGTGCATGCTGAGTTAAGAGTTCACGTGTTGAGCAATCAGTGGCCCTCCCATGCCCTTGGTAGGACGATTTTGGGTAATCAGACTTTTCTCCCACTTTGCACATGGGGCAAACAGTAAACTTCTTTATTATCTATATTTTCATTTCATGTCATTTTTGTCATCTCTGTGTTTGATTGACTCTACTGTGATCTAAGATTATGTTGTACTTTTTTTTTTTTTCCAAATAAACTTTCTTTTTCATTTAGCTTGCTCTCACATGCTTAGGATTAATCTTACTGTATATATCTCCAGCTAATTTAAGGATATTATCTTGTACTATTTTTGTTTTAACATGTCGACCTGTTTACCTTTTTATCTCAGTTTGCAGTGTTTATACTGTGAAAAAATCTTCAGAGACAAAAACACACTTAAAGATCACATGAGAAAGAAGCAGCATCGCAGAATCAATGCCAAAAACAAAGAATATGACAAATTTTATATCATTAATTACTTGGTAAGTGGTTCTATGAATAATTAGTGAATTGACTAAAGAGATACAGACAGTATCTTGTTAAAAGTGAGTAATTCCAAACCAGCAATTACTACAAAGGTCAAAAATGAAGTGAAGGACTCTTAAGAAATATGCTCATTTATGGTATGACATTCTGGATAATTGTTAAACTAGGGAACAGTAAACATTTGTTGCTGAGAATTTATTTTGAGAGATGCAAGAATGCAGCTTGAAGAGACGCTTATCATCATGTCATTAGTGCTCAGTCTCTGCTTTAATAACCAGAAAGGAAAATGAGATAGAGTAATGAAGTAAATGGAGGTCTAACTTGAATGCTATTGGCTTTGAGCTTGTTTTCTACAAACCTTAACTGGAAGTGCTCTTCGGAGTCTAATTAAATGCAAAGAGGAGGAAAATGAAAGATACATAGATGAAACAAAAAGTAGGTGTTCATTTTTAGCCTCCAGGTAGTGTATGTTGCTAGGTATTAATATTTTTTTATCTCAGACCTTTGAGAGTGTGTATGCATGTGTGTGTAACAGATTTTCACTTCTGTCTTCAACTCATGAATATAGGAGCTGCTTCAAAAGCTGCTACATTCTGTGCCAGAAATAACTATATTTCACCTGAACTAGTCTTTGTGCCTTCTACATGTGTTAATATCCAGGTTGTAAATAGGCATCCTTGACTGTTTCACCCACTCTTAACCCTGGGTTTTACTGTAATACCAAGAACAAAAAGTTGTATGTTTAATGCTCTGCCAAGTCCCTTCTACGCAAGATGGAGTGAATTCCCTCTGTGATCCTGTATACTTTCCTTCCAAAGATCAATGATTGGAGGCCTATATTTTCTTTTCTAGATATTCAAATACCACTGCTTTAAGAACTGACCTATACTTCCTGCACAGTGGGGAAAAAGTTGTGAAGTTCTGCAGGGTAGATGTTCTCAGCTTCTCAGCAGAACTGAGCATTCACTTCTTCCTTGCAAGTTAGGAGACTTGAATTTAATGTTGTAATTGTTTTAAGTGATTTTAATAGTTCCATTCTTCTCTGCTAGTCCTGCAGGAAATCTTTATGTTTTCAGAACTCTTTAAATTACCTTCTGTCTCTAATTTGCATTCATTGTTCAGATTTGAATCTGTCCCAGCTTTGATCAGGAAATTGAACTAGCTGACTGCCCAGAAGCACAGAGAACCGTGTGATACTTCTTCAGAAATTTGAGAGACATGCAGGGAGGTCATAACATCAGTGCAGACACAGTGGCTGTCGTGTTTATAAGCAGAATATGCCAAAGTAAATGTAACAGCAGGACTAATATTCGTATACCTAACCTCTTTTCCCACTCTCTCCAGTTGATCCAAAACTGGTGGCCTTGTCCATGCTGTTTACTGAGAATGATCTGTGGCCTGTACGCTTCCTGAACCATGTCCAAGCACTGTCTGGGTAGTGCTGCTGGTGTGGCCACGGAGCATGCAAACTATTAAACAGTATGGGCAATCACTCAGGACAGTGCTCAGGTCAGGGCCTTGGTCCTCCTTAAATTATTGCTGGAATTCTGGGCAGGACTGTGCAGAGTAACTTCTTATGCCAGCCTGAACCAATTCAGGTATTGATCACTTAGCAGCATCACTTAGAGATGTATTTTTCAGGTCCTTGCTATTACAGACAGAGGATGGTAAATACAATTCAAATAAGATATGTCAAACCAGCAGAATGTTTAAAATTGGGCAGGAGGGTCTGCATGCACACTGGTTTGTACCAGTGTGCTGCCAGTGCTTCTTCTGGGACATACTTTGAATGATCACAATTCTTTGTCTGGCTCTGTATGCTCTGCTGCAGCCATGTTTTCTTTCCACACATTTTCAGTTGTCTTTCACTACGTTCTACCCAGTGGACTGTTTCTACTCAGTCTTTCTGATCCTTCAAACTGTAGCCATATCAGAACTTTTGACATTTCTTCTTTTAAAGAAATTATTTTTTTGGAATAAATGATTAAAAACAGACTAAAAAACTCTGTCTTAAACACTTATAGTTTGCTATAAAATGTGTATTTGCACACTAATGTTGCATGAGATTACATTTTTCATTAACACAAAGTTTTTATGACAGTTCCTATGTAGTAGAAAGTGTTTGCTTTCAAAATAGCCTTTGGTAAACCCTTTATTTTTGCACAAAGGAGAAAAAGATTAAAGGGAGGAACTTTAATTTGTTCACTGGGGGTTCAGTAGATTGGCCTTTACATGTAAGGAGAAATAACATTATTCTCTACTGCACATAGGTAGTCTACAGTAGATTATATTAATGTGATAGGATTCTTTTTTTCGAGCTGAGTCTGTATTCAGTGAATTCTAGATGTTACGGAAGGTCTGCTTTCTGTAATGACTTGATTTAGTGATTTTGCTTCCTCTCGCCCTTCACAATTTACTAGAGGATTTTTTTTTTAATGTGTACTATCAAGCTTTACTGACTTCTCAATGAGTCTTAAAGATCTGTGCTTTGCATTGCTCTAAATGTCCAGGGGAATTATACAATTTCATAGGCACAGACATGAATTAGATATCCTATCTGAAATGACAGATGTACTGTTTCAAAATTTACTACTGAATTCATCTTGACCTAAAGATATAGGCATACAATTTACCTATTTTTTGTATGTTTTTACAGAAAACTTCGAATTTTGAGAATGTGACAAAGGTCTTTCTATATGCCAGTTTGATCAAGTTTGTTTTCATCATAAAGAGACTGTAAGACTAAGTAGGTCTCTAATGATAAACATCAATATTATCACAGTCTTATCCACTTTACTTTTAGGATGTGCACCATAAAGGTTTTCTATCAGCAGCTGGATCTTAAGCTATGTAAACGGATAGTTCTTTAGTACAACCATCTTATAGATATTATTGTCCTTTTTTTATAATTTTCCATTACATATTACCTACACCAAGCACTGAGTAAAAAAGTCCTGTTAAGCTGGAACTGCCAGTTTCCTTTATTTTGTGGCTTTTGAACTGAGAGGTTTTAAGGGCTTTTTGTTCAGATGTCCTGAGAATGTCTGCGGAATTGCCTCATGATCTTCTGGCCAGTTCTTACTTGTGTTTTTAAGCTGATGGCAGAGCTCCCATTGATTTTATTTAGAGCAGTAGGCTTGCCTGCCTTCTTCCTTTCCCTCCATTCTGCTTTTGGCTTCACTTGTGGTTTTAGTGCCATTGTGAGAATCTGTTTTCATAATATAAGTTACATTTTATGTCTGTGTGTTGGGAATTCCCTCCCCTAAATTTCCAATTTGGCATAGCAATGAGTAATATAAGTGCAAATTCCTTTGTAAATATTTTGGTATTCTGAGACTTTCTATGACTTCTGTCATGACCTACAAGTGCTTTGATTTGTCTACCCCCGTATTGTTGACATGTTCTGTTGCTCACAGGTTAGTGTTAAGAGTACTGCATGTGATCTGTAGTAGGAGTGGAAGCTTTTTTTGTCATGTGCATGTGTAATAGATTTCTTTTATAAGCAAGTATCAAAAGTTTATTATTAGTTAGTTACATTAAATTAGAGTGGGAGTTCTGCAATTATACAAATTACTTGAAAGGCAGTGGGGTCACTTCCCCACTGGATTTGGAGGTCTTTTGTCAGTATTGTGTAAATATGGAAGATGATACCAATCCTATTTGGAAAGGCTTGAAGTATAAATTGAAAAAGACCAACTGATAATAGAGAGTGAAGAACTGAGCAACAATACATCCAAGATACATATGTAGGTTACCTTATTTTTCTTTTCTCCAAAAAAACTTCCAACCTAATTTTCTTATTTCTGTGCCTGTGTTAGCCTGTGGCCCCATGACTCATCTTGCACAAAGAATCAAGTAAAAATGGGGAGGGAAGAACTTTTTAGTCTGTGGTGCCTGCTGGAGGCAATAAAAGAGCAGAAGACAGTATTAAAACTCTCTTATTCCCAGCCCAAGGAACAGAGGCGGATCCAGACTGACAGGGCCTTTCTGTGTTCACCTGATTGTTACCAGTTGCACTTTAAGTATAGAGTATGCTTTGTAGTAAGCACAGATGCTTATTTTCAAATTGAGTAATGGCACGTATCTGTAGTAATGTAACATCATTATAATGAATGCGCTTATGACTAAGCTAGACAGCTGAAAATGGTACCTGTTACTTACTAGAAAACTTGTTTCATAAAGCCTTTACTTTTCCTCAGAGATAAAAGGATGTTTTCTCCTTATTGCCAAGCCCTAAATCATCGTTATTATCTGTTGGGGGCCGGAGGGATGTTTTGTTTGGGGGGTTACTATTTATATTTAGCCTATTTTGATTTAAGCAGGATACATTTTGTAAAATAGTAAAGGAAAACCCTTCATCGATTGGTGATAGTTCAAGAAGTAATAAAATCCCCCAAGCGGGGGAACACTTCATATTAAAATTCATCCAATGTCTGTTAACTAATGTTGGGGTAAGACCACCTCTTCTATATGATAAAGCATCTCTAAGTTCCGCAGCAATATAAAACAATTCAGATAATTGCAGTAAGGCAGGTGAGAAGAAGGCTGAGAGGAAATTTGCAGGGGAAAGCAGCATCTGTTTGGAGTTTCTGAGCTCCACAGGCCTGGAACTACATTTGCATGTAGTTCAGTAACTGCTCTTTTGGGAAAACTGCTTGAGATACCAGCTGCTGTTTCTAGCTTCTCCCATCTCAGCACTTCTCCTCAAGTTGGGGTATGTTGCCTCAGTGAAGCATGCAGACCTTCTCCCTGTAGAACCCTTAAAACTGTGCGCAACTTGAGAAGATAAATTGTCTGTGAGTCAATTAATCTCTGTGCATTTAGACTTCATTTTGGAAGAGGAAATCAAACCACACACATTTGCGTGCTCTTCTCACTTTTCTGTAGGATCCTCCTCTCTGTGAGGTGCACAGGAAGTATTTTTTTTAAAAAGTTTGTTTTCCGTGGATATATAGCAAGGCCTGCAGGTTTTTTAATTATTCGTTTTCTACTGTTTGAATTATTAACAATGTCAAGTCTAGTTTTTCCCTGGTTTTGTTAAGAATTTCTTGGGAGTCTCTAGAGATGGTTGCTGGGAGCTCTTGCATCTTGGATGAAAGAGCAAGGGAAGTTGAATACTTAACAAAGGCACCCTTGGTCCCAGATGCCCATCAAGCTGTAGAATTGAAAAAGTGTTTTTAAAAAAAGAAAAATTGACAAAACTGAAAGAGCTTAAAGAATGTTTAGAAGAACTCTTTCCCACCCAATTGCTCAGCTTCAGTCTTTCGGCACTTTCATCATAGTGTCCCTAGTTATCCATTCACCATGCAACTTTCCAGTGATACAAGACCTGATTAGCTTTTTCCTTTTTCCTTTTTTTTTCTCCTCTGAATATAAATAGGTGAGCGAAACAGAGACCTCTTACAAGATCCTTCTCTGCCGCCTTCAGAGAAATGCCATAAAGAAACAGCAACGATAACAAAGCTTGTGCATGGTTTTCCCCTTTCACCTTTAATTAAAAGGTGAAGCTTAATATTGGCTGCTGTTTTGAACATACTCTTTTGTGCACATATACTTCAAGCTGGTAAGGGGAAAAATTGTGAGCATCCATCTTCATTTTGCAGTGGTTGTGAGCCACTATCCTCTCATTAAGGTGTTAACATTAGCAGCCATAGGAAACTAGCGTGCAGCTGGGAGAACATGTGGTGAGAGGTGTTAATGGCTTCATGTTATCTCACAGTAATGGTGACATTAATGAGTCTCCCCTGTAACTCAGAGAGTTTACACACTACCATGTAGCATCACTGAATTAATTACTGAATTTTCATTCTGTAATATATGATGACATTATGTTTAGAGCTGTCTAGAGACATTTGTTTATCATTTACCTGATAAACATTTAACAGCTTTGAAAATTCTCATTAAATTGTTAAATGATGGATATCTTTTCCTTCTTTTTCCAAACAACCATAAAGGCAATAATAACACTTGTTAGTAAGGATGTTGTTAAATATATTTATCAGAAGGAATATTTGAATGAAATAAATGAAAGAATGATCTTTTTATTAGCTGCCTTTTTTTTAATGGAGACAAGATCATCAACTATGATCTTTGTGAATCCTTCACAGCAATCAAAAGTATGAGTTCAAAAATACAATTTTGATTACTGGTTAGTTTGCTCTGGTTTATTTTTAAAGGCAGGAAGAATCAGAGGAAAGAAAAACATTAGCTAAAGATCACTGCTGGTATTTCAATAGAGTGCTTCAGCTTTTTATTGCCTGTTACTTATATCACAGTCATGCTGAGAGTGCTTGCCATTGTGCTGAACGCTGCACAAATGTATTGTGATATACTTCGTGCTGAAGCTCTTTAAGATACAAATAAACAACACAAAAAGTAAAAGGAAGAATAGAACACCATGAATAGATGTGCTTACATTCACGTCTGAGAAAAGGATGGAAGAGAAACTGGAGTCTAGCTCAGAGATCTATGCCCTGGTTCATACTGCCTTTCTGAAGTACTGTCTAGCTGGGTTTACACCATGTGTTTTTACTGACATAACCTTGTACAAGGTACGAGCGCTGACTGGTGTAGCTATGCCAACTAAAGTCTCAGGTGTGATAACTGCATTTTTTAAGCAGCATATGTTGCATGAAGAGCAAGGTAGGCAGATTGGATTGGGCAAGTGTGGTGGCAAACTCGAGACAGTGATAACATACCCACCTCGGGAACATCGGTAGTGTTGCAACGCTAGTTTTACACAGAGCTTGGATCCTCTTCTTGAGAGCTCTGTGCCAAATCATCTTCCCAGACGCAGGGTGGGGAATGCCCCTTTAAAAGACAAAACAATTTGAAATTGTTATTTTAAAAATTATTACTAAAGCAGTGTTGTACGACTACCTTTAACTCACAGAAATTCCAAAGTGATCCAAAATAAGATGTTGATTGTGACTTCCCAGATGTTCATTCAGTTGATATATAAAATGTGATGTGAATCAGGAAATGTTTTTTCTTTTCTTTTTTCTTCCCAGGAATTTGGGAAGTCCTGGGAGGAAGTGCAGTCAGAGGACGACCGGGAATTACTAGATAACCTAGAAGAGTAAGAGTTACTTATGTGCCCATTATAAAGACTTGCAAGAACATTATTGCTGAAAGTAGTTACAGGGAAAATGCTGTGCATAGTTAGTACCCAGTTAAAATTCATTTAAGCCAATCAAATAAACTCCAAATTGTTCTCATCAAAGACACTTCTCCACAACAAGGACTGTAAATTTCATATTTTAACCACAAGCCTATTTTTTGTTTGCATATAGCTCAAACAACAGCCTTTTGGGTTTGTAATGATGTAGGCAGAACGGGGGGTTTTTTTTCACTTTTGTACTACAAAACAGTTGAACAGGTTTTGCTCAAATTTAAAAATCAAGAGTAAGCATCAAAAATGTCAGCATGAGAAAGAAATGGTATGAAAAATCTGGTAACAGGATTTCGAAGGAAACTTCTCAACAGTGCTGATTAAGGGCAACATCCACCTCTCCTCTGCATTCTTCTGTGGTCCAGGCCCTCAGATCACTGCAGAGGTGGCTTCCTTCGTCGTAGAGAATTGAATAAGCAGGAAGTAATTTGTGGGTATCAGGGCCCCTGACCTTCCTGGTTCTGTCTGTGACTTGAGCTTAATTTTACTTGATTATAGTTGGTTGCAGTAATATTTCTATCTCTCAGCAGTATTGCAGTTCTAAATAGATGTGTTGGTAAAGTGTTCTCTGTGTGCATGTCTAAATGTAGCATAAATTAGTGTCTCTTTCAGGAATAATAATATTTGATAAGTAAATAACACTTAGAGTGAACTCTGCCTGCTGATTATGTCTTTGGCTGGTATATTGAAAGATTGAAAGGTATAAAAGAATTTTAAAAGACCTTATAAAAATAAACACTGAACGCAGTATTTGGTGACTTGCCAAACTGGATAGAAACTGAAGTTAAGATCCTGTTTGTTAGTGCAGGCAAATTCAAGTAGGACTTACTGCCTGTCTGCACAGGAATTATGCAACAGTAACTGCTCAGTTATTCTTGAACTTGTAATTTTTTTAGACTGTAAACCAGGTTCTAATCATGTATCCAGCTATAAATCCACACTTTCTCTTCCATCCTTTTAAAGAATTCAGTTTCTCTGGATTTAGTTCTAGTGCTGTGAGTACAGAATCTAAAGTGCCCTTTCACAAAATGTCTCTTCCGTTTTCCACAATTAAATGAATCTTTTTGACTCTTAATCATAAGAGACTGGTCTGACTGGGAAGAGCACCCTGTGTGTGCAGTTTGCCTGTTCTGTGAACAACAAGCAGACACCACAGAAAAATTGTATCTTCACATGCAGGTAAGACTTGTTTTAAATATCAGTTCTTTCATCACTTCAGAATTAGAAAGTAAGATTGTAGCATCTTTGTTAAGATCAAATCAGCTGCTGCATTAGAATGCCCTCTTTAGCACAGAACTAAAGTACTGCATGCATCTCCAGCATCTGTTCTCTAAAATATGCAGAGGAGTCAAGTTTTACATTGAGAGTATCACTAGCTATTACTTAGGAGTGTACAGACTGGTACAGACAATAAAGAGGTAGCATCTTTAATATTATAGTGACTTGATGATTTAATACATTTGATTGTTAGCATCTGTGTTTCAGTTTTAATAAACTATTTAACAGGAGCATTGCAGTTTAACAGAATATGAAAGTTTCTGACGAAACAAAACTTTTGGGCGTTTGTTTCATGTTATTAGTGTTTGCATGTCTATATGCATGTGTCTGTGTCAGTCTATGAAAAGCTAAGCTGTTTTTAACTTGGAGTCGTAGAAGTAGTGGAAATAAGATATTTTATTCTTTCCTTTTTTTTTTCTCTCCAGAAATCACATGGATTTGACTTTCCTAAAATAAAGTCAGAGCATGGTGAGTAAGAGATGCTGTAACTGTCAGCACTTGCCACTACTGTGGAGAAAACCACATCATAAAAATAGTGGAAAACAACTGTATCAATTTGATTTTTGTTTGGACGTTTAACTTTTCCATTATGGAAACTGCTTCTGCCAGCTTACAAAAGAACACCAAGAACATTTTATTTTTCTGGAACTGTTCTTAGTGCCAAGGATGTGTGATATTTTCTTTAAAGCCATTGGATTCTTTTGCAGAGTAGCTTCTACAAATACGCACTCTGTGAGTTCCAGGTCTGTCTGCTGGAGCCCTGGAAGAAGAAGAATAATAATAATTATTACTATTATTATCATTATTATTGTTGTTGTTCTTATTACTGTTGTTGTTGTTATTCCTGTTAAGACTTGCTTGCAAGTTAGAAGGCTGTGCTCAAAGCTGTGTTTGGCCAACATTTGCTTTCTGCTGTAAACTGAGAGGAAGCAAGGTGTTTTCAATTTTTACATTAAAAGAAGGGCTAGTTCCCCTGCAGCTGGTAAAAAGCATTTGTTTGGTTAATTTGCTAAGTTACAGCATTCAGGCAGTGCGGTTCTTCAGTAAACCCTTACCAGTCTTTACATTTAATCCAAGAAACCATTTGTGAATTACATCTCATGTTCCTCAAGTGCTTGTTCGCTACCATCTCTGCCAGGTCTGAACTTCTATCAGCAAGTAAAGCTAGTGAACTTCATCAGAAGAGAAATCCATCATTGTCGTTGTTACAACTGCCAGGAGAAATTTCAGTCTAAAGGAGGATTGATAAGTCATATGGAAGAGACCAAACACATTACATTCCTGCCAGCCAGGTCTACATGGGATCAACCACAGTAAGTGCACACATGTTTCTTCCAGCATTTATACTGTTACTTGACAATGTCTGAAAAACAGTAAGTTGAAACTTCTGGGTTTTGCCAGTGCAACAGTGCCCTGAGCTCCCCAGCTCTACTGGCCCAGATAAAATAATAAATGGTCTCAAAACTACTCAAGTTATAAATCCTTGTACTGTATGAAGCTAAAACGAACATGTGATACTGCTCTTCTAGTTGCATCCAGGATGCGCTATCCCCATAAATTGTGTCTGCACTGTCAAGTCAGTATGCTAGAGAAGTTTACCGTTGCAAAATTGTCTTTTGCCTGTATTTGCAGTTGTACAGTGAATGGTGAAAGGCATACATGGTGCACTCAGAGCACTTTCCCTCCCGGTGGAGCCAAGTTTGAATCTGTGCACCAAAGTGACATCTCAAATGCCCCACTTGTAGGCACGAGATTCTTCCAGCTGTTAGCTCTCGACCCATGCAGATCGTGCCTGGGATGAGCATCTGGCACATATTTCGTTGCTAGTAAATATATGCTCTGGGCATATAGTTCTAGAACCAAACCAAACCCCTTCTTTTGCATGTCTAATATAGATACATGCATAATGTCTACCTAACTTTGGGCATCAAAACAAGTTGGTTGTTTACCCTTAGTTTTCTCCATAGCAAATAGAGAAAGAGTTTAACATAACACTGATTCAGATTGTAAGTAGGCTGAATAGGTCTGGGGGATGATGCCATAGGTGGTAAAGCACAGGGAGTGTTCTAACTTAAACATCTCCGTTCAGCATTTGTTGTGGGACAAATCTGGATCTGTGGCCTCAGTTGTGACAACATACAGGGGAAGAAATAAGGGGAAGGACATGTCTGTAGCCAACTCTTCTATATGACTCTTCTAAGATGTACGTGCCAGTTGATTTTTTGGGTGTGCTTTTTACTCTCATTCCAGACAACCAGACTCTCATTTTTCCTTTTTTGAAATCTAATCTCATAAAATATGCTCTGCCTCTTTCAAACAAAATATGTGACTATCTAGTAATTATGCCTTATTGCTTTCAGGTATTATTTTCCTACCTATGAAAATGATACACTCCTGTGTACGCTGTCAGACAGTGAAGATCTGATAACTGAGGATCAAAGTGAAGATATCCCTGTTGTAAGTGAAGATATATCCAACTTAAAAGCTCTCAAACAGAGCAGTGTTTTAAACCAGCTCCTATATGAAGAGAAGAAGAGTCAGGAGAAATTTTGACCTTGAATTACAGTTGCTGACCTTTGAGTGTTTCTTCTGCAAGACAAAAAAAAATACATTCTTTCACTAATATTGGAATACAGTTTAACTCATTAATGTTATCACTGAGCAAATACTACATGAATGGGAATGCTAAATAAAATTTAAGTGTAAACTTTTTTGGTTTATCTTCCTTAAATTCTAGCTTTATTTTAAAATTAAATGCTGGATTTTCTGCTTGGCTCTCCAAATACTTTTAATATTATTTATGAATAGGATTTTTAATCTAATCTTTTATTTTTTCTGAAAACATCAGAATTGGAGTTCTATTTTAAGGCCGTCTTGTGAAAGGCACAAACCATTGAGACAATGTGTCTTGATATATGAGCCAGTGAGTGAATCTTCTATGTTATTGCTGTTAGCATACAGAAAAGAGCCTGAATTTAATTCTTGGTCTGTTACATAAAGCAAACTTTGCTATTTTTAACCTTAGACCTTCTTCCAAGTGAAAACAGATCTGTATATCTCTATTATTCATCATCAATATATAAGATATATGGTGCCTGTTCTGAAAACTGGCTCAGAAACACCAGTAAAGTCCATGAATATCTGACTGCATGGAAAGCTGCCAATCCAAAGCCTAAAAAAGTATAGGAACAACTGCAATCTTGGTTGCATCAAAGATCCAAAAAATTTAAAGCAGACTTCTTGTATGGTCATGAACTGAGATGCAAAAGAAATTATTTAGGGGATTGCAGACACATAAATCCAAATTAAATCCTCAAAATCTCAGCTCAACTGTCCATTAAAGTTGCTGTATTTTCTTTAATATTGAACTTTAAAGTTCCCAAAGTAACAGAAGGTTTTCAGCATGTCCAGAAGGCACCTCAGTCTTGATAGGGCAAAGCAGCTCAGAGCACAGGTCCTGCTGGATGATCCGAACTAGGTATTCCTGCCTCTCTTTCTCCTCTGAAATCTTAAGTAGTTCCAGAGTTCAGGTTTGGCTTTCCATAATACGTATAACTGCTTTCAAAACTGGCAGCACATTCTTTTTCTTCTTTAGGTCGGTGTTAGAGCACTTGTTCAAAGTATGGGAGTCTCGGCTCAGTGCCCTTTCCTGCCTGGGAAGATTCAAAGCCATAGCTTTGCCTTTACATAGCCCTCTTTACCTGAAATAGATTGCTGTCAATAAGAGTTGTTGTTTGTCATTATACAGTGATTGAGAATTATATAGCAGTCCCTAGGAGCAGGGGCTAAAGTTCAAATCTTTACCCATGTTCTGCTAAGCTTCCATATCCAGCCTAATTCACCCTGCAATATATTTGCATCATTTCTTTTAATTTGCTTTAAGCAATTAAAGGTAATTGCTTTCTCCTGGCATTAGCCATCACCCACTAGCACCTCTCTTTGCTTCCCCTTATTTTCTCTTGGGCCCAAGTGCTCTGGAGATAAGTTAGAACAACAGGATGCTGAAAATGTACTGAGGAAGACGGATCAGCCGCTTAACTGAACAATGAAACAGAGACAGAAGCAGTATCTGACTCTGTCAAGAGGAAATGGGACAGAAGTGCTTCAGCAGGCGCTGAGGATACAGACGAAAGAAGGGGGCAGGTGTAGTCATATGTCTGCATTGGCTTTGATTAAACTGGTACAAAAATGTAGGAGGAACAACCCCAATATTATTGAACTAGAACATCTGACCATCTTAAATAAGCTATAGTCTGTACTTCTTGCATTTGTAAATTTCTTAATTTCACGCAGTAATTGCAACGGCTGTTGCTGTTGATTATTTTTTTTCCCTTCTTAAGTAGTTTTCTTCCCAAGCAGTTATTTTCTTCCTAAATTAGAAATTGATTCCAGTCTTTGCTTTTCAGTCAGATTCTTAGCTGAGGTGGGAGTAAGAGTTAATGGGGTTTACATTAATGATTGATAAGTGTCTTGAGCAATGGCAAAAATCAGCAAGAGAACTATGGCTAAATCAGCAGCACATGAATGTGTTTTATGGCAAGCTCATCTCAGAAGGGCATATTAAGGGAAAGATAAAATTTTATTGATATATCATAAAGTGAAATTGCAAAACGTTTCCTAATTATGAGGAATGTGATGCTGAGTCACTCAAATCCCTAAAAAATGAAATCAAGAATGTTAATATCAGCAATATGGAATGACTGCTGTTCCTGCTTCTAACAGAAATTTGAAATAGCAATTTATCAGTGTAGAATTAAGAGACTATCTTAAGAGAAATTGTATAAATAACATGGATTGATTGTCTTTTGTGAGTAAAGAGGAAAAGGTACTTAGGAAAAATTTATCAGCAATGTATAACTGGTCACTGAAAATACAAAGAACATGAGGAGTCAGTTTAGGGTTGACCTTGTTACTTCAAATATGAACAGCAATCAACAGAGTAGGTTTAAAGTCTCCATAGAGACTCTCTCCACAGAGAGAGTTGGGTACAGTTTCTGGAGTAAAAATTGAGCATCTTCGTTTAGAACAATGATGCTTCTAATCGACATTTTGCTGGAGCATACTGTATTTGTTTGTATAATGGCAACAATTTTCCCTAGCCATTCTTGTCCTCTATCTAAAGCAAAGCCAACATCAGTGTCTGTTTTAAAACTGAAGTTATCTTTTTGTCACTAATAGGGGACACAGTTATGACTGCATACAGTGTATAGGATCAGCTATTTTATGAGTAAGTATGTTGTTCTAACAAAAGAGCACTTTTGGAAGCATTGCAACAAAAATAGTGTTGCCATAAGTCATGGAATGGACACAGTTGGGGTTGGCAAATGCTCTTGAGAGAGTCAGATCAGGAGAATGAGTGGTGCTAACTGGTATAAAAAAAGCTACACTAGTAGAAGTCCAACACAGATTTCTTACCATAATATTTCCTCTTAGCCTAGATCTTGACTCCTTGTATAGACTCACTTTATCTAAAGCTGTCCCCTTGTTTAGAAGGACCTGGGTAAAAGGAAGAAAAAGGCTTGTGTCCTGGTGACCGGTAATTCCTCCTGCCCTTTTTACAATTACCTTAATTATGTCTTTGATACTCCTCCACACACAATTTATCCTAACAATTCTGTGCAGACTTAATCTGACTTAACGAGTTAATGGTCGTTGACTTTCATTTAAGACACTTACTGTTTTCAGTTTCTGTATTACGTTTGTCTGGCATGCTGTGAGAGAACTTTCAGTGGCTGCTCTCGGCTGGTAACTGATATGCGAAATACCGAAGTAAGTCTCTGAAAAGTCTCTCTGCTATTGTCATGTCTCAGTGCCATCGCTGCTTCTGAATTCCGGTTAGATCTCTACTAGTGAGTGGGATGTTTGGTACAGTATCTCTCTCTTTCTCCCATTTTACAGAGTGGTTGACCTAAGTCTGACACAAGAAACTGAACTGTGAACAGAAGTACAGTCACTTTCTTCCATGCTCAAACTCAAGTCCAGAGTGGACACTGGACATAGTTCTTGGCAATATCTACCATCCACTGCCGTTGAACAGCAGCAATTTCATAGCTTTGCTTATGACTTGGTGCTGTATTACATGATCTTGCATTATTTGCATTTTACTTATATGTATTCAAAGGCAAAAGAGAATCAAAGGTCCCTGGAGAAAAGCTGTATTTCAGAGGCAACATGAAAAATACTTTGTTTTCCCCAGGAGTTTTTGCTGACTCATGATGCTTTCTGGGCCTTAGTTACAATAGAACGACTGAAGTGTCTATAGTCAAATTAGCCCCCATCTCTCTCTGCCAGGTACATGGAACGTGGTTAGGTAACAACTGTCACATGGAACAGGTAATTTGTAACTCTGGAATGAATTACTGCTTCCATGTAATAGTCATTAGAATCAGCTGCTGTAGAAATACTACGGGCAACAGTGGTTGCATGAAGAACCTGGTTCATGTAAAATTAATTCCTTTTCTCCATGAGCACTGAATGTGCTGTTCTCCCCTATGTTTGGGGGGTTTTTGTATTGGAAGTTTTCTGCTACTAAGTCACGCTTAATTTGACTTCTTCCACCAGTGAAAATTTTAGTTGCTTCTTGAATTTGATTTCACAGCTTTTCCCAGGCTCTTGCTCATGAAGATGCAGATAAGGTAACTATTCTAGAAATTGCCATGTAACCCCTTAGTTGAACTCACATTTTGTGTTTTACATCCCTGATAAATTCACTCTGTCCGTAGGAAGAGCAGGGGAATTTAGGATATTTACAACTGAAAATACATCAGTCGTCTTTGCATCAATTTAGATAGAAATAAAAGCATTTTTCTTCCATAAATGTTCCTTGGAACACAGTTCTCTCCATCTGGTTTACCATCCTGAGACTGAGAAGCTGCCTGTGTGTCGATCACATATGAGCCTAATGTCTAAGCTTCTGTTATAATCAATAAATTAATAAATAAATAACTAATAATTAATCAATCAATCAATCAAATAATCAAGTCTATGGATCCTAGAGTCATTCAGTTCACCCTAAAATAAACATCTAAAACTTTATTCAGTTCCTTGCCCATAGACATCTAGCGTCATCTGAGGTGCTTGAAAATACTGTGGTCTCCAGCTGCTGCTCCTGAAGGATGCTGATCTCTCAGAGGTCTTGTGTCGGTTCTGTGAACTGCGTATGAGGATTTCCGATACCATGGGACATCTCAGATGGCACTGAGGCATATCTAAGTTGAAGCAGCTAAATCCAGCACCTTTGGCTGGTAGCTAAATGTCTCTTTTAGGCTGTAATAACTGTAATGGAAACTTAGGCAGCTGGGTCACATCTGTTCACCTACATCTGGACTCCTAAATTTAGTTATATTAATTTAGAGCTGAATTCTACCCTACTATTATGGAATTCATTTAATCTGAAGGTAGATATGTACATGGATCAGATACTTACTTTCTGGAATGGAGAAGTAGCTTTGGTAGCTACATTGGAAATACCTAAGACTAGTCATTTAGCCTCTGCCGCTTTGTTCTCACAACAGCTTTGGGGACAGGAGGACAATGGTTACCTTTTGGCACATGTGGTCACAGGTTAAATTATAATCATGGACCTAAGTACAGAAACTACTAAAATGTAGCAAAAGTACCCCACAAAACATATGTTATATATGTGTTTCCCTGATTCAAGGAATGTCAATTATAATCTGCTGTTGAGTAAGCTTATCAAGAAGC